CCCCCCCCCCCCCCCCCCCCCCCCGGTTTGCTCCCACCGGCCGGGCCCGCGCTGCGTCATCTTGGCACTGCGTTGTGCCTGCGCCTGATGCACGTACAAGCTCCTGCGCGGCCCACATCGCTGTCTTCGAACACCGGCTGGCATCATGTGGATAGTTTTCTAAATTAGGGCCCCTTTTTGGGTCCCCAAGATAGTACGGCCCTCTTACAAAAAGGACCCCAAAAGCGACCCTAATTCAAAGAACTACCCATGTGCCAGACCTGGGAGTCGCCAGGCGAAGCTTCTGAAGGAACTCGTGGGCGTAGCTGCACGACGGTCTCCCAAGACCCTTGAAAATCGTCTAACCGGTTTAGGGTTTAGGGTTTAGGGTTTAGGGCCCTTGAAATCGTCTAACCCTAAGGGTCCATGTACCCAAATAGCATATACTTTGGCCTCAATGCAGTCCCTGTATAGGTACTTTAGGGCCAATGTATATACTATTTGGGTACATGGACCCTTAGGGTAAGTCCAGGAACACCAAAGAGCCAAGCAGTGGACGAGCACGCGAACATTTTGCATGTCCATGTACATAATTATAAGCCTTCAGCTGCTTGCGTGGCGGCTCCGGGGCTATAACGCGGTCATCCAGCTGTGAAGGCATCAGACCGACGCAGAAGACGTCTGCATCCCCAGCCAAATCCAAGCCAGATAGCCTGGCACCGAGCACCTCTTTCGTTCCCGGGACTCCCTTGTGGGTAGGTACTCGGGTGGGCTGTAGCAAAATCTATGTCAAACTTGAACACTGAAGCCGATACCCATCTCAAAGAAGATTCTGGGTGCAGGAACTATAGCTGCTAGCTGCAAGTGCCAGTATCCTGTGGACCTTCCCCTGTACCCCAAACCCTAAACCCCGAACCCCACAGCTTACATCGCTCTAACCCAACCTCAAACTCTCAACCCTCAACCCGGAGACGGTACAAAAAACAGTGGACCCGGAGCCCTAAGACATGAACGCGAAAACCCCCGCAAACCCTGTTAGAACGCCGTCTTGGACCCAAAAAGGAACCTTAAACCCTAAACCCTAAAACCCTAAACCCAGCGTATTGGACCCCAAAAGGAACCTTAAACCCTAAACCCTAAAACCCTAAACCCATGAAGGCCATTAAGAAAGCCGTATAGGACCCAAGAAGGAACCCTGACCAAGGCAAAGGCGCGACCGCTGCTTGACCCATGACCGAAGACCTCTAGGATGAGACATTTAGTGATGTAGGGTTTAGGGGTTTAGGGGTTTATGGGTTTAGGGGTTAGGAGTTTAGGGTTTAGGGTGTAGGGGTTAGGGGTTATGGCGCTTAGGGCTTATAGGGGTTTAGGGTTTATACGTAGGGTTCTTAATCATTAGAATAGTATTTTGGACTCGACAAAAACAGAATAAGCAGCCCGAAAAAAACATTGTAGTGGTTATCCTGGCTTCTATATTAGGCTTTGGGGTTTGGGGCCATGGAACCCTAAACCCTAAACCCTAGCTTAGGGTGTAGGCCTTGAGACCCACCATCGAAGACCTCTGGCATGATACGTTGTGTACCTTTCCTTTGGAGGACAAACTATGTAAACCTCAAAGTCCCCTAAACCCTAAACAACCCTAAACCCTAAACAACCCTAAACCCTGAGTAGGATTGAAGGCTTCGAGGCTTGGACCCTACGGTTCAGGGTTTTTTGGCATGTCTTAACTCATCCCCTTCGAACGAGAGCCCGATCAAGAAGCTGGATCTCCATGACAAGGTTAGGTACTGCCCCCAGACAGTAAGAGTCTATTGTAAGGGTACGGTTTTAACCCCAAACCCAAAACCCCTAAACCCAAAACCCTAAACCCAAAACCCAAACCGCAAAGCCCTAAGGGCCTATGTTAGTCACCGGTTACTGACTGGTGGGCAGTATCCAATGAAAAGGTTTTGCGGCGTTGAGGCTCTGAGGTGTTGCGGATTCCCTAAGCCCCAAACCCCTAAACCCTAAGTCCATCAACCCCTAAACCCCAAACCCTACACCCCTAAACCGCCAAAGCCCTAAAGCCCTAAAGCCCTAAACCCCCAAACCCCTAAATCCTACACCCATAACTGGCGTTTAGGGTTTAGGGTTTGTAGGGTTTTTAGAGGTTTGTCTTTAGGGCTTTTAGGGTTTAGGGTTTCGACAACATTCTAACATATGGATAGTTCTCTAAATCCGGGTCCCTTTTAGGAACCCAATTGGAGGCGACACCGTGGCAAAAAGGACCCTAATTTAGAGAACCACCCATATAATATAGTATAGGGGTCATAAAGAACGAGTTTAGGGTTTAGGGGTTTAAGGGTTTAGGGGAGCGGTCTAGGGTTTTAGGGGCTTAGAGGTTTAGGATATGGGGGTTTAGGGGTTTAGCAGTTTAGGGGTTTAGGGGTTTCGGTTTGGGGCTTAGGGGCATTTTTCCGAGGGTTTCATGAGGGTGTCCGGGTCTTGGGTTCCGGGGTTTATAGGGGGACTTTATGAAAGGCCTATGAGGGTTCTACGCTCGATGTGAAGGGGGCATCTCTGGTTTCGACTCCCATTGGGGATTGAGGGCTTCGGGTTTTTTGGGGTTAAGGTGTCTGGCTTCGGGCTTTTATCCTCACGACCAGTGCGGGAGCAGACGCTCTGCAGCGGCTTGGATCTACGGCCCATTCCTCAGCTGATCTTGCACAGAACTGCTGTTACCACCATCATCAGCATCACCCCAAGTGACCACCGATCCATCACCGAGAATGGCAGCACATGATTTGAGAGAGGCTTGGATCTGCTGTGCATCCTTCAGCTGGTGCTGCACAGCACTACTGTCACCACCATGGCCAGCACCACCCCAGGTGACCACCGATCCATCATCACGAATGGCAGCAAATGATCCGCCAGAGGCTTGGATCCGCTGCACATCCTTCAGCTGGTCTTGCACAGCACTACTGTCACCACCATAGTTAGCATCACCCCAGGTCACGACGGATCTGTCACCAAGAATGGCAGCAAAAGCGTAGCGAGTAGCTTGGATCTGCTGCACATTCTTCAGCTGGTCCTGCACAGCACTAGTGTCACCACCATAGTCAGCAATGCCCCAGGACAAGACGGATCCGTCAGCAAGAATCGCAGCAAAAGCAGCGTCAGTGGCTTGGATCTGCTGCACGTTCTTCAGCTGGTGCTGCACTGCACTACTGTCACCACCATCACCAGGACTACCCCAGGTTACGACCGATCCATCGCCAAGAATGGCCGCAAAAGCCTCGCAGGTCGCTTGGATCTGCTGCACATCCTTCAGCTGGTGCTGCACTGCACTACTGTCACCACCATCACC